TGAAATATGGAAAAAGAAAGCAACACATATGGAGTGCATGAGCCCTAGCATACAAGTTGTTGAGGTCAATCTTGAAGTGAAATGAGTTCAAGTTCTGTTGAGAATGAGTTCAAGTTCTGTTGAGGTCAATCTTGAAGTGCAATGTCTTTCAAGCTCTGTTGAGGTCAATCTTGAAGTGCAATGTCTTTCAAGCTCTGTTGAGGTCAATCTTGAAGTGCAATGTCTTACAAGCTCTTATTGATTTCCTGTTTTATGCACTACCTGGCATATGGAAAAGGAAAGCAACATCTATGGAGTGCACAAGCCCTAGCATACAAGTTATCAAGAGCAGCAAAATAAGAGAGAGAAAGACCTGAAAATTTGGCTGAGAGCAGGATTAATTTTAATGAGAAGTTTCAACCCATTTGAACCACTTCAAACCCTGGTTTGAAGTGTGTTGAATTTAGTGTATGTATGCACATAGTGAATTTTTTTTTACAAATATGTTGAGGACATCTGTCATCATCAGACTATCAGATATTAGTGGCCATATTTCTTGGTGGAAAGCCCCTCCACATTCTTCTGGAATCAAAAAACCAACTATTTTATTGATGGATCTTTCCAAACTTGAGGTCCTTTTCTTTGTTTTCTTGTTCTTTTTTTTGAAAAAATAATATGAAGTTAAAAGTTAAATGATAACAGCTTATAAAGGATGCAATTTCTTGAGAAAAAAACATGAAAGATTTGGACTATTTTCTTGGAAGATTTGGGTCATTTTTTGAAGATTTGGGCTATTTTCTGGGTCAACAAAATTGGGTTTACGAAAGGTAAACTTGGGTTTACAATTAATACACAGATTAATGGTGCATGGCCCTATTAATCCACAGATTAATAGTGCATGACCCTATTAATCCACAGATTAATAGTGCATGACCCTATTAATCCACAGGGAGGGTGTCAAAAAAGAACCATTCTTCCTTAATTTGATTGAAGTCTGAAATTTCTTTGCAATCAGGTGTACATGCTTTTATCTGGCCTATATTTTAACAGTCCTTTAAGTCTTTATGGTCCACTTCCCTCAAAATTTCTACATCCTGGATCACAGAATGAACAGTGAGCTCCCAGAGAAATGTCCCAAATGATATTCATTGATGTGCAGGAGGAATGGTTTTGCAAAAATTGAAGCTGTAGCTACAAAAACTCAATCCTTACTGTCAAATGGGTATCAGATGTACGGTCTTGCCAAAGGGTAATCATACCAGGTGTCTACCGTCTAAGAAAGGGAACCACGCAATCCATCTTATTGGCTGGTTCTGTCCAGCCAAAAATACAGCAGGAACTAGCTCACTTCTCATTTTTCCGTGTTTTAATCTCAAAGGAATACATATGTGAAAAATATTCAACAGGCATACTACTCTCAATTTGATCTTATCATAGGAAGTAGTCCATAGAAGTATGTAAAAGACGAAATGGGATATCACAGGAAAAAACCACTCGCTTGTTTATCTGATTTCTGATCTTATCATAGGAAGTAGTCGCTTTAAGTATGTAAAAGACATAATGGGATATCGCAGGAAAAAACCACTGGCTTGTTTATCTGATTTCTGGTCTTATCATAGGAAGTAATCACTAGCAGTATGCAAAAGACCAGATGGGATGGTATAGGGAAAAAAAGAAGTAGCAGCAGATTGTTCTAGAACCGGCAAAACATACTTTTTTCTAGAAGGTAAATGTAGTACCTGTTGGAATAAACCAACTCATTTGTTTGCTCGAGTGGCCTGTACGTCTTGGCCACGGGAGGTCGAAGGTTGGGCTGCGCGGGAGGTAGAAGGTTGGGCTGTCTTAGTATGACCCCGAGCGTTTTTTTCCACCAATTCAATAGCCATCTCGCATTTAATCCTTTTGATGCGCTTTTGAATCGCTTTTGAGTTTAGCTGTCGGTAGTTCCGGTTTTCGAAAAGCGTTTTCTCAATTCTCTCCACACTTTCATAGGTCTTTGAGAAAACTGATTTGTCGGCGGTCAGTAATTCTTTGATGATGCGGCTCTCGTAAGATAGAAGATCCCTGCACGTGCTTTGGTACGCTTCATTTCTGTCTATGGTTGTTGACGATAAGAGGGCTCTATCGTCAAAGCTCATGTCGTTTATGAAGGAATAAGTCTCCTCTTGTAAATCAGGGAAGTATCTAGGCACGGTGGTGATACGGTCGAGGACGTCATTGGTGGGGTTGGCTGGCTCAATTCGGTTGGCTAGCATGGTAGCTGATTTTGAAAGTGTCTCTTTCACCGCGTTGAGTTCAGACACCATCTGACGCATGCCTTCTTCGACACGTTTGGTGGCCTGGGTCCCGTTTTCCGGAGAAGTACGGACGCCGTGAACAGGTTCTTTGGGACTAGTGCTGAACACGTATGCATGAAGATCATTGACAATGTTCGCAGGGACCGCTGTAGAGTGAGAGCGTCAAGTAAAAGGATGAAGTCAACTCCTAATCTGAAAGAGGACACTGGGTTTAGTTATTGAGCTCACAATTTTCACTCGGGGGGAGTTCTTGACCATCTTTGTTGTTGGAAAATGATTCTTGATTAAAGGGCATCCTGGCGGGGTAGTGGAGCTGACAGAAATATTTTTCGTGATTAACATATGTCATGTGTACAGAAAACAAGATACTTACTTTCAGATAGGAATTACTTCACAAGTATCAGAAATCTTGATGATTGAGATCACGGTCGAGGTTTATCTGGGGAGGATTCATAGCTCAGGGGATTGGTTTGGGAGTTCTAGATCGTGTTAAAAATGAAATTTATACAAAGAGACTTACCAACAGCTACTCAGGGAGCTGTTCCAAAGAATGGAAATTCCTGAAGATTGAGATGAGGTGAAATCTGTTCTGGGGGAGGGAATGCGAAACTGGGAATGCCTCTCACAAGTCTAGCATCCTAGTAACAAAGGGCCTCATGTGTGTTTGGGTATGGAATTTGGCTCAATAGAAATGTGTCATGAGATATAGATGACCACATAAGTGGTAATACTAACATTCCAATTGAAACCAATGAGCTCACAAGACAATATTTCAACGACACACCATACTTATACGATTCCAGTAAAGTAAGGTTGCATGTTTGAAGACCCTTGACAGGAATGGAATTTTCTAACAACCCCTTTTAAGATCTTGATTTTTCACATATTACAATTACAATTTGAAAGAATCCAAGGGCATATTTTCCAAATATTTCAGATAGAGTTTTATTTATATTTTTTCAAAAGAAATTGAGGATCTTCCCCTTAACAAATAGACATCTTCTGATTTTCTTTTATGCTCTATGATGTTTGAATAGCTTGTGAGCAGTGGCAAGAATGTAAGGTATTGGTTTGGATTGATTGGGAAGGGCCAGTTCACTAGGATGAATAATCCCCAAAAAAACCTCCAAAAATACCTTCACAGGTATTTGAACCCCTCAAAATACCTTCACAGGTAGTTTAACCCCTCAAAATAGTGATTATAATGGGTCTCTCTCAATTTTCATCAATATTTTACTGTTCACTCCCATTTATTTGGAGTGTGAAATTTTCCAAGACTGCAAAAAGGTGGGGGGAGTTGTTTCACACTCCAAAATCTATTTACGTTTGGATTGTTCAACCTTTTTTGTTATGCACAACCAATGCACTCCTTTATTTTTTCCTAGGCAGACCCAAAATTGTAAGTGGTTTTGAGGGGTGATAACCATTATATAACTTGTTTTGAGGGGAGAAAACCCCTTTATAACTTGTCTTGAGGGGTGATAACCCTTATGTTACTTGTTTTGAGGGGTGATAACCCTTATGTAACTTGTTTTGAGGGGTCATAACCTCTGCATAGCTTGTTGATGTTCTGAGGGGTGATAACCTTGTTTTAAGGAGTGAGAACTGCTAAAAACTGGGGCATAATCTAGGTCATAATCAACTACTGAACAAATTCTTTGAGGGAAATAGCCCAGGTAGTCACATAATTCTACATTATTTCTGTTATCTGAGTCTTTAGCTACCCACTGTTCTGGAATTGTGCATTATTGTCACTGGATATTTTCATTTTTTTCCATCAAATGCAGATAAAAAATGTAGCTATTTTAAGATATGTTTTGTGATTGATTTGGCTGGAACAGAAGTGCTCTATTCCAAAATACATCCACTACCAGATGGATGGTTTGTTGGAGGGCAACCCGGCTGGCTTGGCATGTGGGTTTGTGAATGTGATGGAGGTCGAGTGTGGGACTTTGAAGTATCTACAAAGGTGTGATAATCCAGTTTGCACAGCCCTCAGCAGGGCAGAGCAAGTTTTAGGCTCCAAAGTGGTGCAAATTGCAAAGGACAGAGTCCAGTCCAACAATCCCAAGGGCACATTAAAAGAGGCACATGAATGTTTTGATAGGTTTTCAAGCTCTTACCCTCACAGTATAACACAAACAGACAGAGGGTGTTTTTTTGTTTTTCAATCCAGCCAGTTACTTCCAACATACCCGTTTCTTTTGATTTAAATTCAAGCGGAGGTTTTTTCAAAAAACTTGTACATCATTTTAATACAACACAGAATTGAGAAAAGGAGTAGTAAGAAGGATAACAACAACAACATTCAAACCGAATAAAGGGTATTTTTTGGGTGGAGTTAATGACCATCACACTGCGACTATGAGTGGGTTTATTGGGCCCGCCATACTAATTCTCTCCAGTAAGCAGCCTCGGAATGACTGCGTACATGATTAGATGGGAAAGCCTAAAAATAGCATGCATTGCAGAGGGAAAAGGGATTAAGAGCCATCAGCTATTAAACCAGGGTTTTTTTACATTGAAGAGGGAGAAAAACAGACCATACGGCCCGTTTGGATTTCTTGATAGATTGAACTCAGATAACTCTTTTTGGAAGAGTCAGTTAAAAGTTTCTGAGCATGATTTTGAATAAACGAGACGAGCTTTGTTTCCAGAGCTTCATCTTGATCGCCGCCCTCATTCAATTGAATCATTGCATAAATACTGTTCGTATCCGGTAGGTCATTCATAGTTAACAAGCTGCTTGTGAATGTCTGGGAATAAAGCAAGAGTGGTCACTTGAGTTTGGGGGATAGGAAGCTCGAAAAAAGAGAAAAAGATCATGCCACTATTAGAATTCATTTTGCTTGGACTGCCGATCAAGTAGCTATCTGAATCCGCAATGCTGCTCACAAAACTACCTTTCCTGATCATTGGGGTCGAGCTGTCTGAGACAGAAGCAGGGCCAAGATCTAGTCTACTAGTATTTGGGAACAGAGTTGACTCAGAACCTGGCACTTGTTGAGTTCCCGAAGAAAGCTGACCAAAAAAATGATTGGCAAAGCTCCATTCCGAGATCGTATTGTCTATTGCCACAAGTGATAAAGATCGGAACAAGGCCTCAGGTGGTTGTTGCTATAAGAGGGTGATTACTCAGATTTAGTTAGCTTCATGGGATGATATCAAGAAATTTGGAAAGGTAGCTGTAGGACGAATGTTTCAACTGACAAATGAAGGATCTTCGGCCAAATATGCCAAAACCACGTCTGCTCCATCCAACTTAGATTGTGAGATTACAGAATCATCGAGGGCTGTGGCACTCGATTGGGGATCGCCCACCGGACCAACTACGAAAGCTGGACAACCCAGGAGATAGGAAACGTTGATCTTTTACGGACCAAGTCGAAAGTGCGCTTGATGATAGGCCATCAGACGTGCCGATCCCGAGGGCAGACAAGACACTGGACGAAGACATCGATGCTGATTCCAAACTGGCAACGAGGACACTGAGATGTGGGTCGTTAATAGGTTACTTTGCGTCATCATCATCATCAGCCAGATGGCAAAGCAAGTTCCCCGGAAGTTCTTTAGGCGCAACTCGTAGCTCTCCGACCTGTACCGGTCCCAACATACGATCAGATTCAATACCTTATTGAAGGATGTTGAAATCGGTATTTTCATCCTCCATCTTGCACAGCTCATGGGCACGGTTCTGTACGCGTCGGACAGAAAAGTTAATTTTTGAGAATCACGCCCGGGTTTGAGGGGGTTTATCAGGAGGGCGAAGAAATAGACTGACCAATCCAAGATTTCTGATTGAGCTCGGGCAGATCTTCTCCCAATACCCAAGGATTCTGAATACGGCATTAGCGATTGGATGGCGCGGACTGTAGAGATCCTCCTTGGTAATGAGGTTCCAAAGGCGTTGAGGATAGATGTGATGGTGATGAGGAAGCCGATGAAGAAGTAGCCGACGATGTGAGAGTTGTAGATTGGATCAGTCACCAGGGTCGACAAGGATCGAGTTTGTGCACGAGTTGGGTGAGAATCGGTGGTTTTCTTTCTAAGGTGGGGTTTATTGGCATGAAAATTGAAACCCATATAGGATTGGGCAAACTCCACGTAGGCCGAACCAAGCGAAGAACTTCCAGTGGTGAATAAAAAAAAACGATCGACTTCCGCAACCAACAAAAAAAAACGATCGACTTCCGCAACCAACAGCAACCAACCCATCAGCTCCCGACATTCAACCACCTCGACATTCAAGCACCTCAATCTCCGTTCACCATGCCGCTCAACTATGCTAAGTGGGATTCTGTGGAGGTGCGTTTCTCTCCCTCATCCTGCCTTCAGTCTCTCATCCCGACTCCTGAATCCCTTCCCTAATCCCTGAACACGATTGCATTCTCTCTCTATGTAGATGTCCAATGACTCAGACTTGGAATGCCCTCCGTCGTATGTATCATTGTCGTTCCTCCGGTTTGTTGCTCATCTTATGCACATCTGACCCATGGTGCTGTTTTTGCTAACAGGATCGATGAAGAGAAAAATGCTCCCGCCAAGCATTGTCAGACTCATCAACAACATGAATGCAGAAAAGCCGAGGACGAAGCCTTCAAATGGACGGGAAAGCTGAACGGTATCGACATCAAACAGCTCCAACAGCTCCTCACCAACATCGACAAGAAAGGTGTGATCCACTTACGAGAGGCGGCCGCTAAGCTATTGGCTCAGGGTCATGGCAAATCATCTTTGCGCAAAGATTCGACCAGTACTGCCCTCTTCAGGTATATCGATGACACCCTCCACAGGATCAAGGACCTTCGTCCAGCCGATCAGCGCAAATCTGCTGTCGAACAACTACAGTACCATCTAGCTGAACTCGTCGATTGCGAAAGACAACGCAAAATTGAATTGGAAAAACAAGAGACCGTCGCCCGCGAGCAGCCTCCCTGTGGCCATGCTCATGAGGAATTTGATGTTTCTGTTTGTCTTATTATTTCTTTCTTTCTCGCTCTTCCTCATTATCGTCATAGTGATTAATCAGCCCAACCTGCTTGCTTCAGCGATGTTCCAAGTCTGGAGCTCCATTCACTGCCCCCACCAGTCAGCTCAACTCAACCGAGAAAGACAAGTCGACGGGGAAAGACAAGCCAAACAAGAAAGACGAGCCCACCAAGAAAGATGGCAAGTCAACAGCAAAAAGCAAGTTGATGGAGACCACCGAGAAGGAAAAGTCGACTGAGAAAGTCAAGACAACCTGTTCCAAGCGCCCCAAACCTCCGTCGCCCATCAATCCTTCAACTTCACCAGAGTCTCCAGCAACACCGTTCAATAGAAATCGTAACGAAGTCAAGCGACGTAGAGTAGCTCCCTTGCCAGCCACCAAACCTGATGAAACCGGACAATACGAATCCTCAAGCTGCCATCAATGCCGTGTCAAGACCACTCGACCGAAAATGATTTGCGATCAATCTCAGAATCCTAGCTGTGTTGTCCGAGTTTGCTACACCTGTCTGATGAGGCCTGTTTACAACAACATACCCGAACTTCGACCCCCACTCCTGGAGTTTATACCCGGTGGAAAAATGCTGTGTGTGAAGTGTAGAGGTGTCTGTCCTTGTGCTTCCTGCCGGCGAATCCGATTTGAAATTGAAAAACCCCAAAGAGGCTTTGGTTCTAGTGTCAAACGATTTTATGATCCAATCCCCACGATCCACAACTCACAACCGTCCAAACTTTCCACTACAACCCTTCCGCGTAAATCAAATCGACCCATGCAATCTGAATCGAACCCTCCCCCCGCAACCTCTGTTCACAGATCAAATCGACCCATCCAATCCACACAATCCTCGAGCTCTATCACAAATCTCCCCGAGCTGGTAGACCCGTTGGCCTCCCAAACTCTTGTGTGTAATACTTGTCCAGGTGAAACCCATGATCCTCTTGAGTGCATACTTAACATCCAGCAGAGATGCCTGATGCTATCTCAAGAGTCGGGGCTTCAACTGAGTACAAGTACTGCACTTGAGATAAAGGATGATCCAATGGGTGTCCCTGCTCCTCAACCACTCAGCAACCGACAACAACGATTCCGAGCCCACAAGGCTGAGAAGCAGCGGCAAAAACGTCTAGCATCCAATGTGACATATGCTGGCCAACCTTACATCACAGCACATGTATGTCGAAAGGCGGATCCCACCACCCCGATTCGGCTGTTTCGGAAAAGTTTTGTTGCTTGGACCAATAACAGTCGAAAAAAAATTGCGGCTGTAGTGAAATTTCACCCGTTCAACACTATGGAGGACTCTCTCAAAGCGCAATTTCAATACTTAAGTCAGCATCTCATACAGCAATCGAAGTTCCAGAACCCAAATAAAATCAATTCCGCTGCTTATGCTGGAAGCATGTATAGTCTTGGCTGGCGAAAGGCTTTTGAAGCGGAAACCACAATTGGTGTTCCAGGTATTTCGGAAAAAGTATCCTTCGATCGAATTGGATATGAAGACCTCCAAACGAATGTTCCAACAATCAATGAATTCATTGGCAAACGATTTCAATTACTCTCTGAACCTCTCTACAACGAAGTGAAAGAGCACTTTCAACCTCTGGAAGCTCCTGGTCTGGCTCCTCACTTTTTCACCGACCCCGATGGATTCACTTGCCATCTTTCCTACACATTCAGACAATTCGCAAACACTCCTCACAAAGATGATGACGCTTCCCCGTACTCATTTGCCATGTGGCTTCCCATTGATCAAAACTCTGGCGACTTGATTGAAGAAGATCTGAATGTTTGTGGAGGCGAATTTGTTTTCCCAAAACATGGGTTTGGAATTGATTTCACAGGATTCCAAGGTGTGGTCGAATGCGCATGGAAAGCCAACTCTTTCTGTCATCTAACTCTCCCTTCTTCAAGCCCTCCCCAATCTCCACATAATCGACTGGGGTTATCCTGTGAGCTTCCACGCAAGACACAAATTGCTTTGGAAAAAATTAAAAAAAAGTTCTATGAAAACCATCCGGAAAAAAAACATTGGCGACCTAGAGATTTAGGAACAATGATTGATAACTCCTATAACTATCCAAAACCAAACCGAAACCAAACCAAATGATTGCCTGCCAGCCCTTGTCTGCAAGACGAAGCCCAATCCAGTCGTTCTCAGCCCAAAACCGTCAAGTCTGGCGAATTTAATAAACAACTCATCCTAAACCACATCCTAATCACATCACACTCTGTATAGGTGATCGCCGGTTCCACTTGCCCACCCAGTTCCTCGTCCCTGACCCCATCAATGTCAAGTTTGTCAAGAGCCCTTCTAGGTTATCTTGCCCTCCAAGTTGCAAAACTCACCTAAGAAGGATCAGTTCAATCTGACCTTATGTTAATTCATTCATATTCATAACTGTTTTTACTTCTTTTTTTCTGGCATATTTATCATTTTTCCTATTTTTTTCTTTTGTTATCAGGATCAATCAAAAGAAAAATTTATGCAAACCAAATATTTGTTTGTTCATTTCTTTTTTTCTGTTACTTTTTCTTTTATAATTGGGTAATATTTTTTATTAGATTTAAGCAATCAAGCAGACTCAAAATATGAAGTTGTTGAACAAAGGGCAAAGCCTGAAGAACTGTCACCATATGTCTCATGGAAGAAATTATATTTTGGTTGTGTTGACAAAAGAAGTGCCTACCTCTCATTGCCAGAGATGTGAGGTTGTAAATAGTGCCTTGAGTCTTGACATTCAAAATCAAACTGTGGACACTTCTGGCAGTGGCACACACATACTGGCAGTGGCACCTCAACCCTCAGGTGTCTCAACAGCTACACCTGTGTAGCCAGCATGGAAGTGATGTCAGAGGGTTGACACTGTATAACCCTTAACACCTCTGGGCTGTTTTAATATTGTGAAAAATTGTTATATTCCCATTCAATTCAATTTATCCAAGTTACCAAGAAGAGAAACAGTCATGACTGTTTCTTTTTGAGAATTTAATCCTGCCTTTTGAATTATATAAGGCAGTTCTGTCCACATTTTTGATGCTTAAACCAAGATCCAAGTGGGTAGAAACCCAAATATGCTGATTGCAATGGGTATAAACCCAAATATGCTCCCCATATGTCTCATGGAATAATTTCTATTTTGATTATGTTGGCCAAGGATGTGTCTACCTCTGATTAACACATTGCCAGATGTCTACCTCTGATTATCACATTGCCAGATGTCTACCTCTGATTACCACATTGCCATAGATTTGAGGTTGTCAATAGTGCCTTGTGTCTTGACATTCAAAATAGCCAGTCTTCTAAACCTCTGGTTTAAATGCTGTACAGATAATGTGTTAGCTGCATTATCAAAAAAGCTTCAATTGGGGCAATTCATTTCTTTGTATGGATATCAGATGATAGACATGTTTCAAGTGGCTGTACTTCCCCCCTTCCTCAAAGGAGTTGATTCTTGGGTTTTACCAACTAGGAGATTTATTCCTTGGTTCACCTTCCCCAACATGTGTTGCAGCAGAAAACCCCTCCCAATGGATTTGATAGTTGATATCAAACTTCAAAACAGGTTTCTTGGTGGCTAACTGCTTTGTGGCATAGGTTGGTACTCTGTTTTGAGGCATAAATATTTCTACATAAAACGTTTGGAGGGTGATAACTGCCAATATACATGTTTTGAGGGGTTGTAACTGCTACACCACCAGTTTTGAGGTGTTATGACTATTTAAAAGCATGTTTTGAGGGGCAATTAACTGCTTCAAACCCTGCCTCAAGGGGTGATAACCACTTCCAAGGCTGATTTGAGTCATGATAACCTTTAGTTGTTATCATCTTTCATATCAGGTTTTTTAGCAGTTATGTGGTTATTGAAAGCCATATCCTGAGCCACAGAGATAATGAAATACAGGAATCACAGAAAATTAGTCACTAAGCCTAGGATATTACAAGAATTAAGATAGAGAACTAACTAAATAAGAAATGTCACAGTTGATTGATTGCCACCTCATCTTGACTTTTGTTTTCCAAATATTGTTATTGAAGGATGAGACCAATACAATAACAGTTAGTGCACTTGAATATTTTACCAAAAGAATTCAGTATTTTCAGCTTCAAACCCCTATACAACTTGTTGTATGGGGTGATAACCCCTATACAACTTGTTGTATGGGGTGATAACCCCTATACAACTTGTTGTATGGGGTGATAACCCCTATACAACTTGTTGTATGGGGTGATAACCCCTATACAACTTGTTGTATGGGGTGATAACCCCTATACAACTTGTTGTATGGGGTGATAACCCCTATACAACTTGTTGTATGGGGTGATAACCCCTATACAACTTGAATGTGTTATCCAAATCCTCTGGAGGTCAAAAGGTGTCAAATCGGAGAATGTGTTTCCTTATCTGGAATTAAGAATAGAAATATCATTATAGAGTGATTTATTGAAGGCACATCCAGGTGAATACCCCAGTTGAGTGCAGTTTTGAACCACCAAAAAATAAAAAATAAATGGAATTTTTCTGTCTTGTTGTTGTTTCAATATGCCATTCCATATTTTCTGAAATTTTACTCTCAATTGTACTTATTATCTGAGTAAAATAGCTATCCACTGTTATGAGATAGTACATTATTTCGAGAGAAGGGGGGGAAGAGACCCGGAGAAGAAAACCTCCAGGAAAAAGCTCTGAGGGAGAAAAAATGGTATTAGAGCCCAAAAAGGGCTAGAGTCTGCTAGCTTGCGTGATGGAAAAGCGTACACGCTACAAGAGGTTGTAGTTGTTATTGACCTCAGGGAAATGGCACAGAAGACAGATGTTTTTTTTTCAGTTCTTAACTCTAGAGCATGCATATTTTATCTACATACAATATGGGCTGAGTTGTGGGAAAGAAGGTGAAACTGGATATTCATCTGGAACTGGGAGAAGGAGAGTGACAGATGGAAAAAAGAGTGACATGAATGTGACAGGGAGAGAAGAAGGAGAGGAGAGATTGGCATGGTGCTACAGAATTCCAACAATTATTATTTTTTGCCATCAAATATAGATAATGTTTTAACTGCATCATGAAAAAGGCTTCAATTGGGGCAATTCATCTCTTTGTCTGGATATTAGATGTTAGACAAGTGTCTGTTTCCCCCTTCCTCAAAGGAGTTGATTCTTGGGTTTTACCAGCTTTTACAGCAGATTTATACCTTGGTTGTCACCACAATGGGCCCACTTTGTAGCATTTATGTGGTTATTGAAAGGCCTCTCTTAAGTTACAGAGATATCAAAATAAATGAACCACAGAAATTTAGTGACTAAGCCCAGGATATCCCAAGAATTGAGATAGAGAAACTGAATAAGACATTTTACAGTTGATTGATTGTCACCTCATCTTCACTTTTGTGTTCCAAATATTTTTATTGAAGGTTGAGACCAATACAATAACAGCAGTGGACTTGAATATTTTACCAGATAATTTTCAGTATTTTGGCTTTGATACATGCAAGGTAAATTAGTGCTGTCCTTATGTGCTATTGTGCTACCATGGATTTTAAAGATAAACCATAACTTGTTTTGAGGGGTCATTCGGAGCTGGAGACCAATTCTCTCAAAATTTGTTATAACCCCTCCCCCCAAGGGCCTACAGAAGAGGTGTCTGGAGGGTTCCAGAAAACATGTGCTCACCAAACGCCCAAAAACGGGTGCTCATGGAAGGTTAGCAAAATGAAATGACGCAGGTGATAACAAGCTAATATATTTTATTGTAGTTCACCCAGAGAAGAATAGAAACATCTTATCATAGTTCACCCAGAGAAGAATAGAAACATGTTTTTTTAGTTTATCCAGAGAAGAATAGAAACATTCCATATTCAGAGAAGAATAGAAAACATAAAGACGGAGTCAATCTAACTCTCTCGTGTGACTTGATTGTGAAATATTTACAAGGAAACTAGTAGGACATAGATCAGATAGCTAAAGAGGTAATATAAGCATGAGACTATGGATGAGGAATGGAATTGGAAGCCGATACGATGGATTTGAGCTACAATTGTAAGAAAGAGTAGAGCAATATTTAATTTCTAAGTTAAGTGGCACTACGGGTAATTTTCTTCAAGTAACCAAGCACATCTGCAAGGGAATATGGCTGGTTGTCCTTGCAAATCTTCAGTTGATGGTGCACGAGGATTGAATTTTTTTCGAGGAAATCTTGACCATAAGCTTTTATATGCAGGCCTAGAGGGATTCTCTGGTAGGGTTTTTCATCGTCTGTAACATGGCGCTCTCCACTTCGACTAATCCATCTCACGATTGCCGTCTTTTTTTCTCTAGCGGCGAGCTGGATAGTGGCCAGATCTATCTCTCTGACAAGAGCAGTCAGCATACTACTACGCCATAACGGAATGATTCGGACGGGAAGGACCGTGATATCTTCGCTTTCTTCGTAGTCGGAAACTGTGTCGGGGTCTTTAAACATGGCAAGCAGTTCAGATTGATCTGGGAAAATGGATAGGGCAGTTTTGAAACGAGATTGGGCGACCTGAAATTCTAAATGTTAGAGGAGATTTCAATCCAATGGTGTGAATGAAAACTTGGGAGCTCACTTTTTTACGATATAGCATGTGCCAACCATCCATCTGCTCAAAATTGTCGTCCACAATGTCCTTTCCTTCTTCGATTTGTTTTCGAATTCGTGTAAAGTTGACATTCCTGCTGACTAACCACTCCAGAAGCGCCGCTTTCGCATCAAGGAAGGAAAAAGTCGACACTTTCCTTTCATTCACAACCCAAATCCCCCAGTTATCGCAGAGGATGTCCGCCGTACAGTTATTCCAATCTGAGTCGGTCCAATTAGGTTTCCTCCACTCAAAAGTAATGCGATTGAAGCCGTGGGAGTGGAAGTCATGGTCGCATCGGGCCTTGTCAATTGAGGTGAATTTTGGGTGGCACAACAACTGGTTTTGATGATAATCTGAAGGATTTGGGCAAGCACCTAAAAGAAGAGAGGCTGCAACATATTTTTCCCTCCCATGGATCTCTTCAACTGTGGGTTCAGGCGGAAGTGGAAAATTAACACCATGACACCCCATCATGAATTTCGCGAAATCCACCAGGGAGTCTCCTCTAGACATGGCCGGAGTAGGATCTTGAAATGACAAGCAACCATCAATTAGCGATTCAATTTCAAACATAATTCAGACAAATCCCAAATGGAGGAAGATTAGCTCACCAGATGGGGGTTGCAAAGTATCTGACAAAAGCAAAGACATGAATCATCAATTAGCGATTAAAACATAAGACCTCAGACAAACCCCAAATGGAGGAAGATTAGCTCACCAGATGGGGGCTGGAGAGTATCTGGAAAAAGAATAGACATGGCCGGAATATGATCTTGAAATCGTGGGGTTGAAAAGTGATCTCTGGTAAAGCTGATAGGGGATCAAAATGAGGGGTCAACTGTCAGTATGAAAGTCAGTAATCAAATGCAGGTTGGTCGATAAGAGAAAAGTAAATACTTGCAATAAATTTAAGGCTCAGTCAACAAATAGATTTTTGTTTGAATTAGAGGGAGGAGCGGTGGACGTACCAGTCAGAAATAGATCAACCTTCCCATAAGTTAACCGATTCTGTGTGGACTCGTTATGGCCTGACCCACTGGTTGCATGTGTAATCAGAAGAAACTTTGCTTATTGAAAGGACAAAGGACAGATACAAGATTGGATCAATGTGCTGATGTTGCATGATGCATCCTTGGGCTCTAGGAAGGGATGTTGGAACCAAGGACCTGCCACGGGTAATGCCACCGATCACCAACCAAACAACAATCGCCCAGCCAACAAATTTTATGGTGGTGTTGTTAGAGGAATGGCTGGTATGCTGTTGGACAATATGTTTCGCAAGCTTTGCCGCCTTTGAACACTGCATGGCAGTGTATGGCAGACCAGCAACTGCCTGCAAAGTCTGGTCAATCTTACATGATTGACAGTACATAATTGCTTCCGAGAAGAAGGCATCTCCTTTGAGCATTTGTTCCGTTGGGCTCTGTTAGTCAGGTCTAGGTGCTTATACATAACACTTTGCTTGAAGTATTTCACGGGGCGTGGGTTTGAGCAAATACTTACATAGATATTTACATAACACTAAATTCCTCCTTTGTGTTGTTTTCCAATGGAAATCACTCAAATCTCAGCTGGTCAAGCCATTGTCTTGGGTTTGGGCGGTTATTGCTGCAAGGCAGCTTGAAATTGTTGGCCTTGACCGGAGGGCCTTGATTAGACAAAGGAAACACCGGTTTGCGGTGGGGATCTGTGGCGTGCCACAGGCATCACCAGTCACACCCCCTTCATGCAAGGGAAACAGTGGTAGTCAGCCATCGGATTTGTTTTGTGGTTGTGTCTATCTTTGAATCCATCTTCAAGTTCCCGATTCCGTGACTTTGACCAGCTGTGAACTCACTTGCTTGTTGAGTTCAAACACAAGATTGAATTTCTCACCGTAAGTAATAGGCTATCATCTTCCTTTCATCAATAGGCTTGAATTTGTCTGAAAGCCTGCATATGCTGACGGGTGGTCAGTACTTGGAAACTTATTTAGCTCTTAGACTATCTTACACATTTAATTCAGCCTGCCATGTGTGCTAATTACCAAACATGCCCAATATGTTTCGAACTGATTGGACGGGATGGATTTCGTCTGCCGTGTACTGCCACCAGATTCCATTGCTTTCACAGGTCCTGCCTCCAGGTTGGTGGCACCCCCACACTCTCTGAAAGATTCCACGCTGACTTCATTTGTACATACATGTCTGAAAGACTTGGTTTGAACGACAAAGTTTGGAATCATTCGCAACAAGTTGTCCTCTCTGTCGTACAATCTACCCGTTCAGAAGGCCAGGTTTGAGGGCTGCCGCTGCCACACCGGTTCGTCGAGTTTACACAAGGAGCAATATTGGCTGGCACTTGAGAGAATTCATTCCCCCAAGCGGACCACAGTCCAGAGATGGTGAGAACTTTTGAACTTGCTGATTTTGCAGTGATTATCCTCCCCAACTGACATTTGAATTTTGAACGGTTCACAACTTACCACAGCCACCCCAATGAGCCGATCTCAATCCGTCAGTGTAGTTATTCCGACAACACTTCCGCCTGAATTCTCAAATCCCGTGATCAGATCACCTGAACCTCATACTCCAACCACAACTGCGACAACACTGACCAAACCACAGGCAACAGCTTCACCTACTGCAAGCTCAACTCCTCGCTTACGCAAGATGGTAAATCCAATCAAACGTCGATACCAAAAACACAACGTGGCATATTGGTCGAAGTTTAAAACTTGGCTAAAGTGAATTATAATCAATTCTGACTGTAGCTATTCCTCACACATATTCCAGCTTGTATTTTTTACTTGAATATATGGTTTCTTCCTCCCACCAATTTCTATCATCCAAACCCTATCTTATAAGTTGTCTAGACTCCTTTTTTTCAAAAAGGCACACCCAGAAAAGTTATCCCTCCCACATATTCTAGCTTGTATTTTTAAATTTTATACACGGTTTATTCCTTCCACCCATCCCTATCATCAGAATCCTTCTCATAAGTTCTCCAGTCAATTTTTGAACCTTTTGAAATTTTTATGACTGCAAGGAACACAAACTCAACCTCAATGGGGGCTGTTCTACTATCTTCAACACCTCACCATTATGAAACTATTCCAAGAGGATACATAGTTTATGGAGGAGTTTTTCAATGAGCTGATCTTCATGCTAGTGGCTAAAAAGGAACAATAAGAATAAGAAGCTTATATTTTTACCATTCAATCCAATATCATGAATGAAAGTTGATGGGTTTAGTTTTGAGAGTCAAAAAAAGGGTGTGTAAAAAACGTAAGCCACTGCACATGAATTGGTATCAGCCATTAATGTATGGGATTGAAATTGCAGATGGCAGGGTATTTCTGCTGGGTTTATCATCTTGGAATAATTTGAATCAGCTTTACCAATCCAATACCAAATAAATTGTCAATGTCACTGCAATAATTCCAAATATTCTAGCATATGTTGTGCCTAGGTAGTCTGCCAGTAATTCTCTGATTTCTGTTGTACTTGAACTCATTTGTTACCATTTCCATCATTAGTGACCATGATTCATCTAATATCATATAATGGAAAAAGTGGATATAGTATTGTCCCATGGCTGTTACTAGCATCTTGAATTCACTAATTGTACTATATATCTTCTGACTTCTCAAATAGTGATTCTGGGGTTCACCATCAAAATGGCACACAGTTTTCAACAGGAAATTCAGCTTATCAAGCACTAAACATGCTCTATTATCAGGCACTTCTCATGTTCTATTATCAGGCACTTCTCATGTTCTATTATCAGGCACTTATCATGTTATATTATCATTTTAAATCACTTATAATGTATTATCAGTGAAAAGCAATATTAATAATCTATTATCAGTTTAAATTACTGATAATAATATATTATCAGTTTAAAGTATTGTTAATAATATATTATCAGTTTAAAGATTGGTGCAAAGATCTGGTTGTAAAGATCTGAAAAACAATGTAAATCACAGTGTAAATCTTTGATAAAGCAGTGGAAAGTAATGATAATGCTCCATAAATCAGTTTAGAGCACTCCATGCTCAGTGTACACCACTTATGATGCCCCATTATCAGTTACTGACCCAAACCTGATTGGCTCAGATTTTTCCTTTTTAAAATACTCAATTTCAGATAATCCCCTGTGGTACCAATGAGAATGTTGATAGGAAGGGAGGTTTGAATGTTGAGGTACTCACAATACCAGCACAAATCTTAAATTGATAGCCTTGAATTGGTTGTATTGCTTTATGCTAGAAAAAGAGTTATGTTGATTTCAACTTGATGCACAGGCCACAACATCAATTTCCCCTCTGATAATGTGATTTCATGCTTGCTGTTATTGCACCAAACTAGGATTCACTGCTATACTATAGTCAATGAGTGATTTCCTTCTAGAATTTTCTAGAATTTACTTGACTATTTAACTTGTTTTGAGGGGTGACAACCCCTATAAAACTTGTTTTGAGGGGTGATAACCCCTATACAACTTGTTTTGAGGGGTGATAACCCCTATACAACTTGTTTTGAGGGGTGATAACCCCTATACAACTTGTTTTGAGGGGTGATAACCCCTATAAAACTTGTTTTGAGGGGTGATAACCCCTATAAAACTTGTTTTGAGGGGTGATAACCCCTATAAAACTTGTTTTGAGGGGTGATAACCCCTATAAAACTTGTTTTGAGGGGTGATAACCCCTATAAAACTTGTTTTGAGGGATGATAACCCCTATAAAACTTGTTTTGAGGGGTGATAACCCCTATAAAACTTGTTTTGAGGGGTGATAACCCCTATAGAAAAGGGTTTTGAGGGGTGATAACCCCAATATAATTCGGTTTGATTGGTGATAGCCTTGTTTGAAGGGGTGAGAACTGCCAACAAATCCACTACACAAAATCTTTGGGGCCAATAGTGCAGGAAGTCACACAATTCTACATTATTTCTGTAATCTGAGTCTTGAGCTACCCACTGTTTGGGAATTGTGCTATATTGTACTGGGTATTTTTCAGTTTTTCCATCAAATGTAGATAAAAAAGAAGATCTTTTAAAATAGGTTTTGTGATGGAATTTGCTGGAACAGAAGTGCTCTATTTCAAGATACATCCATTAAAACAGGTTTATTTTTTTAGGAGATAAAGAGGCTTTGGGATTTCACATTTTTCACCCAAGTCACAGAGATATCAAAATACATGAATCACAGAAATTTAGTGACTAAGCCCAGAAATCCCAAGAATTGAGATAGAGAAACTGAATAAGACATGTCACAGTTGATTGACAATGACTGTCACCTCATCTTCACTTTTGTGTTCCAAATATTTTTATTGAAGGTTGAGAAATTAGTGCTGTCTTTATGTGTTATTGCCAATATGCTATCATGGATTTTGAAGATAAACCATAACTTGTTTTGAGGGATGATAACCCCTATTTACTATGTTTTGGTGGTGATAACCCCTATTTAGCTTGTTTGGAGGGGTGATAACCCCAATATAGCTTGGGTTGAGGGGTGATAACCCCTATGTTACTTGTTTTGAGGGGTGATAATCCCTCTATGACTTATTTTGAGGGGTGATAAACCCTATGTTACATGATTTTAGGCGTGAAAATCACTATATAACTTTTTTGAGGGGTGATGAGGGGTGATAATCCCACCATGACTTGTTTTGAGGGATGATATGCACAAAATCTTTGGGAGAGATAGCCCTGGAAGTCACACAATTCTACATTATTTCTGTAATCTGAGTCTTGAGCTACCCACTGTTTGGGAATTGTGCATTATTGTCACCGGGTATTTTTCAGTTTTTCCATCAAATTTAGATAAAAAAGAAGATCTTTTAAAATAGGCTTTGTGATCGGTTCTTCTGGAACAGAAGTGCTCTATTCTAAGATACATCCGTTAAAGAGGCTTTGGGATTTCACATTTTTCATATAGGATCCCCTATGTGTTATCTGATTCCTCTGGAGGTCAAAAGGTGTCAATTGGGAGAATTCATCTCCTTATCTGGAATTAAGAACAGACCTCACCTTATACATAGAGTGCTTCATTGAATGCACATCCAGGTGAGTCACCAAGTTTGGTCCAGTTTTGAACCACCAAAAAATTAAAAATAAATTGTTATGTTGTTTCAATATGCCATTCCATATGTTATGAAATAATGCTTTACATTGTCCTTATTATCTGAGTAAAATAGCTATCCACTGTTATGAGATAGTACATTATTTTTACTGGTGATTATTATTTTTTACCATCAACTATAGGTAATGTGTTAACTGCATTATCAAAAGGGCTTCAATTGGGGCCATTCATCACTTCCAGATCTCAGATGATAGACAAGTGGCTGTTTCCCCCTTCCTAAAAGAAGTTGATTCTAGGGTTTTACTCACTCAGGAGGTTTATTCCTTGTTTGTCACCAAAATGGGCCCACTTCACTAGAATGAAGTTGGCACCACAAACTAATACACCTAGACCATTGCAATGATTTACCAATACATGTATGATGTTATCACCCCTCCAAGCCTCCTTTGGAGGGATTATCACCCCTCCAAGCCTCCTTTGGAGGGATTATCACCCCTCCAAGCCTCCTTTGGAGGGATTATCACCCCTCCAAGCCTCCTTTGGAGGGGTTATCACCCCTCCAAGCCTCCTTTGGAGGGGTTATCCAGAATAATGGTAGGCTCTTGCTCCACTCACTGTTAGGCATAGGGGCTTAGAAGAAGACCACTCAATTTTTCCAGATCAAAACATATTTAACTTCCCAGTGCTGGGTGATTGTCTTCCAGTAAATATCACATACACTGAAATTCAAAAAAGGCTTTCTCCATGAGCATGAAAAATTAAATTCAAATGAACACTTTGTAAAAGTTGTAAAAAATAACCAAACACATCAATTTTTGGGCAAGCTGGAAATCATTTTTTCAGAGAAAGTCAAATACACAGAATGTCAAGGAGATCAGTCTTTCAGTTGGAAAGAATAATAATGAATGAAAAATTGAATCCCAAAACGGTTGAGATTGGGGGGCCCGAGGGCTCTTCCGGTCGGCTTTCACGCCACACCGGCTGGGCTTTTTGTACTCGAGTAACACTGCTTTGTCATCAGCCCTTGCCACTGACACCGTTGAGGCAAAATATCACGTGTCACAAACTTCTGCATCATTATACAGATGGTCAGGATTTTCAAGTAAACTTGCAAGGCTTGTTTAAATGAATCACAACACCTTTTATTGTGAAGGTGTTGTGTGGAAATAGCTGGCCTCATCTGATCAGCCGTTTGAGCAACTCTGCAACCCGCGACCGGCGTCGTTGCGTGGGGATATCGTTATAGGTTTTTCCTTTAGCTGGGGTAGTCCGAATTCACCGGGGATCAGGATTCACTGTTTATCTAGCATATGCTGCCATGACTTCTCAGAAACTGCGTAAATGTGAGGGGGCTAACTACCAAGCGAGAACGCGCCAACCTCGGTTCCCTTAGCGAGGACCTGACCATCGAAGATCACGTTATTAGTCCCGTAAACCATCTCCTCATGGTACCGTTTATCCACCCGGTTCGTCCGCAACTCTCAATCGAAGTTGATCAGGATCGAGCCCACATTCGTCGCACCTACCGGCACCATCGAGAAAATCCCGTGCCACCATCGTCCTAATATGACCACTCTCGCGTTTTTGTTGTCAAGACTGACCAGCAAAAGGATGAAGATGTTTGACCTTCCAGTCGGCAGGAGAATGGAAGCGATGATAATTGCCTGGGGCAAGATAGACGACGACGAAGAACGTACGATTGCCGGAGCTGGGCAGGGTTTCGAGCTCACCCCTGACGATGTCGGCATGAACTTTGATGGAGGATGCAAGGCCGGCGTCGGGACTGAGCTCTCTGTTGGGTCCTGATGAAATATCGTTGATTGGTATCAGACAGACAAATCAAGAATAAAGAACCAAATCGGCAAGGAACAACTATTGAGTAAACCATAGAGTCTGGAGATAATTCTTAAGGGGAGAGCGCCGAGGACATGAACCTGCCAAGGACCTACAATTTTTACGGGTGTGATTATGGTCGAGTCAGCTTTTCGGGTGCTTCCTTCTTCTTCTGATCCAGATTGACCGTCAATTTTTTTCAAATAAGTTATCAGTCCTAGAAATGAGGCCCCGATCCATATTGGAATTCCAATTCATCTTAGTTTTCTTCAATCTGACCTTCAGTCGATCTGTTGGTATGAAAAAAATTCCAGTCAACATCATTTTTCTTGAGAAAAGAGTGTATATTATAAGGTTGATTTTTACTCACTCAAGTAGTTGTCTTCATCCTATAAGTAATGTCAGACACAGATAAGAAGAAGGCTTAATGGGTCAGAATCGGACTTCTTTGCCCGAGGATGCTTCGGGAGCTGAGCGGTAGATTAAGCTGCAGGAATCGGCAGGGTGAAGGATGACTGGGGTACTGGGTTGGGTGGAATGCGTCGCTTGGTTGTGGTGGGATCACTAGGTTGGGATGAGTTATTGGGGAACCAACATAAGGGTGGTTTTTTGGGCTTACAAGATTGGAATGTGAGTGTTAGGACAAAAGGAACATAACAGTCGACAGGACGAAAAGCAAGACGAGAAGGGAAAATCGCTTACTTTGAATCAGCCTTGAGTTCCACTGGTCCTAATACAATGAAGAAGGCATCCCAGGCAGGAGGGTGATAGTACTTGGTTTCGATGATGAACGCCTCCGAGTCGTCAATGAATGGGGTATATTTGGCGTAACCCTCATCTCGTTCCTGAATTCTTCTTTGTCGGCGCCGTTTCTAGCGTACGGCATCATTTATGCTGGAGGCGGTTGCTGCGGTTTTGGTACTGCAGAGGCACCAAACATGATGACTGTGTCAGCTGGTAGTATGTAGCTTCTGTGTCAGCTGGTAGTATGTAGCTTGCCTGCTTGGCTAAGAAACTGATGCCGTACTCGATTCTCCTACTGGGGAGAACATAGCAAAAGGATTAGAAGTCAAGCACATCAGCAATGTGGTTAAGGAGGAGTTCTAGGTTAAGTTCAGGAAAACGACATACTCTAGAGGGAGTTAAAGGTCTAAGGCTAGAGTAAGCCAAACGATCGGAATCGGATCGGGTTTCTTGGGACGAATCTCATCCCGCAGAGCTTCATCTTCATCGCAATCAACACATTTGAGTGGGGATCGGACCATGACCCGTGCTTCACGCTCCGATCGATTTGACGCCTCTTGAACGTTTGAAGGGGTGGGCTCATGGTGCTGATGATGGTGAGTATGTTGGTCGGTGTGACCGCTGTGATGGATGAGTGATCTTTGGATCTGATCAGGTAAGGATTATACTTTCAGGACGGAGGAGTCGATTAGGTGGCGTTGTTGTTCTATGGGTGACTTGGGGATCGGACTCCGTTCTGAGGGACGACGGATGGGTAAGGGGAGCTGTTGCGGGTGACCTTGCTAGACGTGGCTGATGGATGTTGGAAGGTGGTTGCTGAGTGGTTGAGGAGCAGGGGCACCCGTTAGATCCCATATCTTCAGTGCAGTACTTGTGCTCATTTGAAGCCCCGACTCTTGAGATAGCATCAGGCATCTCTGCTGGATGTTAAGTATGCACTCAAGAGGATCGTGGGTTTCGCCTGGACAAGTAGTGAACATGAAGACTCAAGAGTATGGATGAAAAGGAAAAAGATGTCTGGAGAAGAAGCATCTTGTGGGAAGTTCAGGTTTGTGCCCATGATGACACCACTGGCTTTTCTGCAAGGCGTGACTCGGCTGCGGCACAGCCAGCCAGAGGAGACTACATACATCTCTCCTCTTAGCCACACCTACCCGAATCCATAATGATTACCCCTCTGAGTCACTACACAAAGGATGTAATTAACCTAATAATACCTGCTGGTTGCTTCATTTTAACCAGCACTTGAAAGCATTTAGACCACAGCATTTAAACCACAGAGGTTTAAAGCATTTAAACCTCAGATAAATTCAAAGCATGTGCAAAGGTCATGTTTTCACTATGGTGGATTACAGGCTCTAGGTTTGCATCAACAATGAATTCCATGTTGGGACTTTCCTTTCTAAAGCAAGTAGGAGAAAGATTTTTAACTCAATTGTTCTTTGTAAAAAAATAAGAAAAATCATCTAAACACATGGACACAATTTTCAGTTCATTGTTTTGAATTGCACTAGTTCAACAAAAAAATGAAGTCATGGGAATTGATCCATTGGTGTAAAAGGGAGAATCTACTTATATTGTGAAAGGTTTTTGGGCTTTTTCCCCCTTTGTCAATGGGGCTTACTACTTAAATGATCATGGCCAAAATCTTTTATGGTTTTATTTTTATACATTTATAAATTACACTTTAAAAGCCACTACTCTACTCCGTGTTTAATTTCTAGTAGGGTTCATTTGTGAGATTTTGCTACTAGAACTGCCATGCAAACTCCAATGCTTTTCTGATATTTCAGAAGAGGTTGGTGTTAATACTGCCTCTCCGCAACAGCTGTCACCTTCAATAATTGATCCTGTTATTCCTCAATCTGTTATGGAGGAATAACAGTACTTATTGTTATTCCTATTCCTCAATAACAGTACTGTTATTCCTCAATAACAGTACTGTTATTCCTCAATAACAGTACTGTTATTCCTCAATAACAGCACTGTTATTCCTCCATAACAGCACTGTTATTCCTCAATAACAGTACTGTTATTCCTCAATAACAGCACTGTTATTCCTCCATAACAGCACTGTTATTCCTCAATAACAGTACTGTTATTCCTCAATAACAGTACTGTTATTCCTCAATAACAGCACTGTTATTCCTCAATAACAGCACTGTTATTCCTCAATAACAGCACTGTTATTCCTCAATAACAGTACTGTTATTCCTCAATAACAGTACTGTTATTCCTCAATAACAGCACTGTTATTCATCAATAACATCACATTAATTCCTCTTCTCAAATCTGATATTTCAAGCCTTTTTAACCCCTTCTAACTGGTTTTGTAGCCTTTATCACCACTCAAAATGTTTCTTAGCAGTTGGCCCCCTCAAAGTGGATCAACAATGGGCCACTACTGTAGCAGTGTTGGTATCTTGTTGTATTGTTCTATTTTTCTCATACAATAACAACAAATTAATTGCTAAAATAGATGCAAATCTCTTTATTGTATCTGATTTATCAATAAAATCAATAACTGTTAGTGTGCTGTGATTTTCAGTGAAACTAGGCAGATTTGATGAGAAGAAAAATTTATACCTTAGTCTGTCATTCGGTTGTTATTGGGATGTTATTTGGTGTTGATTGTGGGTGTTAATTTATTGCATTTGAAATCCATGGTACCATATTGGCAATAACACATAGGGAAAGCACTAATTTCCCCTTCATGTATCAAAGCTGAAAATAGTTAAAAGCATTTGGTAAAAATATTCAAGTAAACCAGTGCTGTTATTGTATTGATCTCAACCTTCAAAAAAATATTTGGGACATAAAAATCAAGATGAGGTGACAATAAATCAACTGTGATATTTCATATTTAGTTAGTTCTCCATCACAATTCTTGTAATATCCTGGGCTTAGTCACTAAAATCCTGTGATTCCTGTATTTTGATACATCTGTGACTAATGAGATGGCTGTCAATAACCACATCAATGCTAGAAAGTGTTGTGGTGAGAACCAAGGAATAAATCTCCTGTAAAAGTTAGTAAAACCCAAGAATCAACTCCTTTGAGGAAGGGGGAAAAAGCCACTTTTTTATAATCTGAGATTCCGAAAAGAGATGAATTGCCCCAATTGAAGCCTTTTTGATAATGCAGTTAACACATTGTCTACACTTGATGGCAAAAAATAATAATCACTGCAGTTGACACATCATCTATATTTGATGGCCAAAAATTATACCCCAGTAAAAATGATGTACTATCTCATAACAGTGGATAGCTATTTCACTCAGGAGTCAGATGATAAGGATAATGTAGAGTAAGATTTCAGAACATACAGAATGTATTGCCCTCAAAGAATTTGTGTAGTAGTTGATTATGACCCAGTTTTTTAGCAGTTCTCACTCCTTAAAACAAGGTTATCACCCCTCAGAACATCAACAATCTATACAGAGGTTATCACCCCTCAAAACAAGTTACACAAGGGTTATCACCCCTCAAAACAAGTAACATAAGGGTTATCACCCCTCAAGACAAGTTATAAAGGGGTTTTCTCCCCTCAAAACAAGTTATATAGTGGTTATCACCCCTCAAAACCACTCACAATTTTGGGTCTGCCTGGGAAAAAATAAAGGAGTGCATTGGTTGTGCATAACAAAAAAGGTTGAACACTCCAAACGTAAATAGATTTTGGAGTGTGAAACAATTCACCCCACCTTTTTGCAGTCATGAACATTTCACCCTCCAAATAAATGGGAGTGAACGTAGTTAACTCCACTTTTGCAGTGCATTTAGTAAAATATTGACAAAAATTGAGATAGAGCCATTATAATCACTATTTTGAGGGGTTAAACTACCTGTGAAGGTATTTTGAGGGGTCAAACTACCTGTGAAGGTATTTTGAGGGGTTAAACTACCTGTGAAGGTATTTTGAGGGGTTAAACTACCTGTGAAGGTATTTTGAGGGGTTAAACTACCTGTGAAGGTATTTTGAGGGGTTAAACTACCTGTGAAGGTATTTTGAGGGGTTAAACTACCTGTGAAGGTATTTTGAGGGGTTAAACTACCTGTGAAGGTATTTTGAGGGGTTAAACTACCTGTGAAGGTATTTTGAGGGGTTAAACTACCTGTGAAGGTATTTTGAGGGTTTAAACTACCTGTGAAGGTATTTTGAGGGGTTAAACTACCTGTGAAGGTATTTTAAGGGTTAAACTACCTGTGAAGGTATTTTGAGGGGTTAATTTATTGTATCTGACTTATCAATAAAATCAATAAATGTTAGTGTGCTGTGATTTCCAGTGAAACTAGGCAGATTTGATGAGAAGAAAAATTCATACCTTAGTTTTTCATTTGGTTGTTATTGGGATGTTATTTGGTGTTATTTGTGGGTGTTAATTTATTGCATTTCAAATCCATGGTACCATATTGGCAATAACACATAGGAAAAGCACTAATTTCCCCTTCATGTATCAAAGCTGAAAAACTTAAAAGCATTTGGCAAAAATATTCAAGTACACCAGTACTGTTATTTTATTGATCTCAACCTTCAAAAAAATATTTTGGACACAAAATTCCAGATGAGGTGACAATCAATCAACTGTGACATTTCTTATTTAGTTAGTTCTCCATCTCATTTCTTGTAATATCCTGGGATTAGTCACTAAAGTTCTGTGATTCATGTATTTTGATATCTCTGTGACTCAAGAGAGGGCTAATCAACTGTGACAGTTCTTTTTTAGTTAGTTCTCCATCTCATTTCTTGTAATATCCTGGGCTTAGTCACTAAAATTCTGTGATTCATATGTTTTGATATCTCTGTGACTCAAGAGAGGGCTAATGCTACAAAGTGGGCCCATTGTGGTGAGACCCAAGGAATAAATCTCCCGTAAAAGTTAGTAAGACCCAAGAATCAACTGCTTTGAGGAAGGGGGAAAAAGCCACTTTTCTATCATCTGAGATCCCAAAAATGAAGTGAATTGCCCCAATTGAAGCCTTTTGGATAATGCAGTTAACACATTGTCTACACTTGATGGCAAAAAATAATAATCACTGCAGTTGACACATTATCTATATCTCATGGCCAAAAATTATAGCCCCCAGTTAAAATAATGTACTATCTCAAAACAGTGGATAGCTATTTCACCCAGATGATAAGGAGAATGTGGAGTAAGATTTCAGAACATACAGAATGTCATATTGAAACAACAACAAGACGGATAAATTGCATTGCGTTCTCCCAATTGACACCTTTTGACCTTCAGCTCATTAACACATAGGGGTGATCAAATATGACAAATGTGAAATCTCAAAGCCTCATTATATCCTAAACTAACCCAACATTTTTAATGAATGTATTTTGGAATAGAGAACTTCTGTTCCAGCCAAATCAATCACAAAACATATCTTAAAATAGCTACATTTTTTATCTGCATTTGATGGAAAAAATGAAAATATCCAGTGACAATAATGCAAAATTCCAGAACAGTGGGTAGCTAAAGACTCAGATAACAGAAATAATGTAGAATTATGTGACTACCTGGGCTATTTCCCTCAAAGAATTTGTTCAGTAGTTGATTATGACCTAGATTATGCCCCAGTTTTTAGCAGTTCTCACTCCTTAAAACAAGGTTATCACCCCTCAGAACATCAACAAGCTATGCAGAGGTTATGACCCCTCAAAACAAGTTACATAAGGGTTATCACCCCTCAAAACAAGTAACATAAGGGTTATCACCCCTCAAGACAAGTTATAAAGGGGTTTTCTCCCCTCAAAACAAGTTATATAATGGTTATCACCCCTCAAAACCACTTACAATTTTGGGTCTGCCTAGGAAAAAATAAAGGAGTGCATTGGTTGTGCATAACAAAAAAGGTTGAACAATCCAAACGTAAATAGATTTTGGAGTGTGAAACAACTCCCCCCACCTTTTTGCAGTCTTGGAAAATTTCACACTCCAAATAAATGGGAGTGAACAGTAAAATATTGATGAAAATTGAGAGAGACCCATTATAATCACTATTTTGAGGGGTTAAACTACCTGTGAAGGTATTTTGAGGGGTTCAAATACCTG